GAGAAAATTTTATTAAATTAGTAGATGTTAAAAATCCTTCAATTCTAGAAAATTTTTGACAATATTTAAAATTTTGACAATTTTTAAAATAATATAAAAAAAATTCAATTCAACTTTTTTTAAAAAAATTAATTTCTATAAATTCAATTATTTCTGAAAATTTATCATAAAATGCACTTAATATTCAATTATTATGTAAAATTTTAACTATAATTCATTTTTAAATCAATTTTTATTAGATAATTCTATTAGAATTCAATTATTTAAGTATAAATAGAAATAATTTATTAATTGACTGTTTCTTAAACTTGAATGCTAGTCAAGAATTTTATAAAATAAATTTTTAAATAAATGAATTCTTTCGACGAATTTTAATAAAATTTTTAAGAATAATTAGATTTTTCGAGAAATTCGATTTAAATTCTATTAAATATAATTGAAATTCTGCGAAAAGTTATATTATTTGTAAAAATAATTGAATCCCTAAAAAGAAATTTATTATTTTTCAACATAATTAAATTTCTACAATAATTTGTAATGCAAAAATATAATTTATTGAATAATTTGAATGTTTCTTAAAATTCAAATCTCATAAATAATTTTGTCAACAAATTTTAAAATAATTAAATTCTTTCGACGGATTTTAATAAAATATTTAAGAATAATTTCATTTTTCGAGGAATTTGATGAAAATTGTATTTAAAATAATTGAAATTCTGCAATGAGTTTTATTATTTATCAAAATAATTGAATCCCAGTAAAAATGTTATTATTTATGAAAATAATTGAATTATTGCGAAGAAATTTATAAAAAAATTTTTAAATAATTGAAGTCCTGGGAAATTTGTATTATTTATGAAAATAATTAAATTTATTTTAAATAATTGAATTTTTGTAGAAAATTTTAATAAATTAGTAGATATTAAAAATCATGAAATTGTAGAAAATTTTTGAAAATAATTAAAATTTTGCCAATTTCCAGTGTAATATATAAAAAAAATTCAATTAAACTTTTTCAAAAAAATTAATTTCTAAATTCAAATATTTCTAAAAATTTATAATAAAATGCTCCTAATATTCAATTATTATGTAAAATTTTAACCAAAATTCATTTTTAAATCAATTTTTATTAGAAAATTCTACTGGAATTTAATTATTTAAATACCAAAGTAAATAACTTATTTAATAATTGTATGTTTCTTAAAATTGAATACTCTTAAAGAATTATATAAAATAAATTTTTAAATAATTAAATTCTTTCGACGAATTTTAATAAAATTTTTACAGGATTCCTACAGAAATCCGAATTTAAAATTCTATACCTTTTCCATGATTTCCAGGTAAAAAATTTAAAATTATTAAAAATTATCAAAAATTCAAAAAACCGAATTTCTTTAAATTCAACTTTTTTTTCTCTCTTTTATGGGATTTAGCTCTATTATTTTTGGGCTCTTTGGAAAATACTTTACTTATTTAATAGTCTCGACTCTTTAGTAAAAAATGTAAAATTATCGAAAATTATCAAAAATTCAAAAATCCGAATTTCTTAAAATTCAACATTTTTTCCTTTTTTATGCCATTTAGCTTTATTTTTGTTTGAATTTATATTCAAGAGAAAAAATGGAAAACAGGCAAAATTTAGAAACTTTTAAAAATTCCAGGCGTTTTCCATGATTTTCCTGATTTCCAGAAGCCTTTTAAAAATTCCATACCATTTCCATGATTTCCATGATTTTCAGATTCTGTAGGAACCCTGTTTTAAGAATAATTACATTTTTCGAAGAATTTGATTAAAATTGAATTAAAAATAATTGAAATTCTGCGATCAGTTTCATTATTTGTGAAAATAATTGAATTCCTAAAAAGAATTTTATTATTAATGAAAATAATTGAATTATTGCGAAGAAATTTATAGAAAATTTGTAAATAATTGAATTCCTGTGAAATTTTTATTATTTTATGAAAATAATTGAATTTCAGAGAAGAATTTTATTATTTCTAAAAATAATTGAAATTTTGATGAGAACTTAAAAAAAATTTTCAAACATAATTGAATTTCTGCCAAGAATTTTATTACTTTTAAAAATAAAAAATTATACTATCAGTAAAATTGTAAATAAAAAATTAAAATTCGAACTACTGTTCGATAGTATAATAATTTATCATTTCGTCTGGAATGAAAAAGAATTGAGAATGTAGAGTTAAAAAAAAAACTTTGACTTAAATTATAAATATTCGGAAACAGTGAGAGTCCCCCATTGAATTTAAATGAGAATTTCGTTGGCAAACATCAACGCCGTAAATGAAAATAAATCACGGTGAAAAAAAAAATCAATTGAATGAAAATTTATGGGAAGAAAGGGAATTTCGATGTAATCTTGAGGATTATGTGACGAGCACGTGGCTTTCTTTTGTGCATTGTTCCTTGGTTATTATTATGGGATCAATATCGAAAATTTTGCTTCTTTCCAAGTGAAAAGTACGACTTAATTAGAAAGAAGCACTTGAGTGCTTGTAGAGACATGATAACAAGCGAGAGGTACATGCGAGACCTCATCTTTCAGGGGGTGAGTCATGTATCGTGACTATACACGACGCCCGCCGGCTACCCTTCAAATATTGATTTGTCTAGTGCGTGGTGGCGGTCCTTGTCCTTCCTCGAAACTTTTTTAACCCCCAGTAAAGTGGTCAAGTTCTCTCTTTCTCTCAACATGTCTATATATATACACACCTACCAAAAAAAAACATACATATTCTATTATTATTTTTTTTTGGGAGAATTAATCGTATAATCAATAAATGTATCATTTCACTTTTCAAATACTTTTAATGCTTACGTTTAATTGAATAACAAACAAGAAAATGTTTCTTTTTCTAAATAGTAAATTTTATTTACATGTTTTTTGATACTAATTTTGTATTTTATTATTTATACAATAACTAATATTGTGTAAAAAAGTATAAAAGAATAAAAAAGTATACAAAAAAATAATTATTACAATAATAACTACAAATTTAAATTTTCAAAGATTTTAATTTTAATCTTTTTCAAAATTCAATTTCTAAAAATTCATGCTATAATGCATTTAATATTATCAATTATAATTTTAAATTTTCAGTGAAATTCATTTTTTAAATCAATTTTTATTAGAAAATTTTTCGAGAATTCAATTTTAAATACAAAAATAGATAATTTATTAAATAATTTCTAAAACTGAATTTTTATGAAGAATTGTGTTAAAATTCTTAATAATAATTAAATTCTTTCGGCGAATTTAAAAAAAAATTGTAAGAATAAATGCAATTTTCTATCAATTCATTTTATTTAAAAATATAAAAAATAATTTAAATTATGCGATAAGTTTTGTTATTTATGAAAATAATTGAATTCTTGCAACGAATTTTATTAAAAAGTTTTTTAAAGAATATTGAATTCCTATATGAAGAATTTTATTTCTGAAAATAATTGGAATTCCGGAGAAAAATATTAATTATTTATGAAAATAATTAATTTCTTGCGAAGAATTTTATTCTTAATTTTTTTTTAATAATATTGAATTTTTAAGAATTTTTTAAAACTTTTTAAAAATAATTAAATTCCATCTAGAAATTTCATTAAAAAATTGAAAATAATTGAAACCTAACAAAAATTTTTTTTTAAAGAATTGAATTCCTGTGAGAATGTTTATTTTTGAAAAGAATTGAATTCATGAAAAGAATTATTTTATTGAAAATAATTGAATTGCATTAGGAAAATTTTATTAACTAAATTTTGTAAAGTATTTTGTCAAAATTTGTTAAAATAATAGAATTTTAAAAATAATTTTATTCAAATTTTTCGAAATAATTGAATTTCTCATAACTATTTTTTTCAATTCTCTGAATATATTTGAATTCTTTGGAGAAACTTCATTAAAAAATGAAAAATAATTGGTAAAATTTTTATTAAAATTTCGTTTAAATAATAGAATTCTCTTAGAAAATTTTATTAAAATAGTAGATATTAAAAATAATTGAAATGAGGAAATTTTTTTAAAATAATTGAATTTTGGAGAAGAATTTTATTATTTATAAAGATAATTGTGATTTTTACGAGAATTTAAAAAAAATTTTGAACATAATTGAATTTATGCGAAGAAGTTCATCACTTTTTAAAATAATTGAATTTCTGCAATGAGTTATTCTTAAAATTTCTATTTAAATTCATTAAAAATTGATAAAAAATTTCAAATTGAAACCTTTGAAGTTCATCTATTTATGTAGATTGTAAACGCAACTCTTTTGAAATCCAATTAATTTTGAAATTTTTAAGTAAAATTATTCATTAAATAATTTATAAGTAATAATTTTATGATAGTTCTTCAAGAATTGAGTTATTTAAAAAGAAATTATTGTCAGAAATAGAAAAAATTGAAGGATTTGTATTAGATTTATTCTTATAAATTCTAAAAATTTAATTTTTTCCAATACTTTTAATAAAAAATCCCACTTTTCCCTGAATTCCCTGGCAGCCCTGTTAAATATTAAGAGTAATATTTGTGAACGAAAAGATTAGAAATGCGATTAATACAATTTTCAAAAAACTAAAACACTACAGAAAAATAAAATTTTTGAAAAAAGATTTAGGCTAATTAACGTTTTTATAAGTCATACGCATTACGATCAAAATTCTACATAAAATTAAATGAAATTCTTTTTATTTTTATTATATTATTTGACTTCTTTCAATTAATTAAAATTGAAAAATGTATCGTTTCAAACAATCGAGAAAAATGAAAAAAAAACAAATGAAATTAAAGTGTTAATTTTTGAGACAAGCATAACAAAACATATTTTGCAAAAAAGGGTTGATACATCCTCTTTTACTAAATTAGAGTTAATTCTTAACGCATACAAAAGGTCATTAGACAATGATGCTCTTATTAATAAATTACTTTTTTCCCGTGGGAAAGCACAGGTATGCAAGTGCGTATAGTGTAAAAGAAACATAGAGTACTCACACTCAGAAAAGAAGAAGATGCCATTCAACGGGGTCATTCACCGCACTTTCAAAAAAAAAACTGTCACATTATTGATATTTCCCTTTAATATCCAACTTATTGCACTTGTTATCAATTTGTCAACGATACCACTAATTTGTCAGTAAATCCTCTTTTTTTTTAAAATAATCCGGGTGGCGAGGTCTACTCTCTTCAGCATCAAGTTTCTTTCTACATCCTTTTGACACAACTTTGCTTAACATGGTGGTTGCGGTACAAACAAGTTTGTTGTTTGTACCTACAATAGAAATCTTACTTACCGACTGTGAAAATAGTAGATTTTCGATAAGCGCGGTAAAGTCGGAAAAATTCAAATTTTGACGATTAAATTTATTTTTTAATTTTCTACAAAAAGAGATTTAATTTTATTGAATTATATATTCAATTGATGAAACTTTCGGAAAGATTTTCTATAATTACTTAAGAATTTGTGATTAATGCACTTTTTATTGTAAAAAAAAAAATTTCTAACGAACGGTAAAGCAGTTTACATGCGAGAGTTCTAATTATCACCGGGTGTGGCGCTGCCTTCGATTAAAATGGCGCTAATCTCGGAAAGTTTAAATCACAACAAAAACTTTTAAATACTCATCACTGAAAAAAAAAATTTCTGTAGATTTACTGTTTGACAGAAACTTGTAAAATAACATAGTAGCGAATTTATAATCCCTTTTGTAAAATTAATACTTTCAGCGCGTCAATCGTGTCAATTTTCTGTAAATTCTGTAAATTTACTACTCTGAAAGTAGGTAATAATCGCAGTAATAATTTTGTCCTTTTATTACCTACTTTCAGAGGAGTAAATTTACAGAATTTACAGAAAATTGTAAAATTGACACGCTGAAAGTATTAATTACAAAAGGGATTGAAAAATTCGCTACTTTTAAAGATGTTATTTTACAAGTTTCTGTAAAAAACTGTAAATCTACCAGAAAATTTTTTTTTACAGTGTGCAGTTTACAACAATACCAACAACATTTTACCAAATGTCACCATTTGAGGTTAAATAACGAATCAAATCGCCAAAGTCAGAAACGGTTTTTTTCTATTGAATCTAATTTTGAAAGTTTCTTTACTTTTTCTTTTTTTTATTTTGCTCAAGTGAAGATATATTTACAAGAAAATAATTATTCCGACCGTGTTAGAGCAACATTGTTGGAGGTGAAAAAAATGGAAAAATTCTTAATTACTATTCATGTGGGGAAAAGGATAATAAAATGGAAAAATTTTGCAATAACAGGAAAAATATTGGTAAATTTTATTCGTTCAACAATGTGGATAATAATTATAAAAACAAACAAACCTTCGACTATTGGCACTTTATAAGATGAATCAGAATGTTATGAGGTAAGATTATATACAATTGTTTATTTTTCTTGAAATCGCTATAAGTTATAAAAAAGGTTGAAAAGGAAAAAAAAGAAGAGAGGAAAAATATAATTTAATTTAGTTTTAATTGTACGATGATAGCATGTAAGAGAGAGAGAGAGAGAAAGAGAGAGCGCGCGAGCGAGCGAGAGAGAACTTGTCAGCCTGGGACGTTTTGTATATTTATTCTGGTCAGTTGTACTGTGTCTGAGCGCGCTGCAGGTCCATGTTCAAGTTCCCAAGTACCGGTTTAACAGCAAGAGAGTCCCAAAGTCGTCCTATCTTGTATTCTGTATTTCGTGGAAGAAAGTCCTTCCATTAGTCCGACGTCTTATAAACGCGCAGTGCGCCTGTTTGCTTCATTTTTCAAAAAAAAAAAAGAGGAAATAAAAACAGTAGATTTTCAATTTTCTTTTCCTTGTATATTTGGTTGATCGCGCGGACTTGGCGACAAGCAAGTCCGCGGACGCGGATGTTCCCAAACTTTTTGTTGATGTGATACTGTTTTGTTTTTTAAGGACAAAAATTTTCCTTAGCTTTTTATAATATATAAAATATGGCGTGTGATCAGTGGTGGTTTATTCATGGAAGTGTTACTCTAAGACAAATGTTATTACTACAAATAATTTTCGCATTTGGATTGTATACAACAGTCGTAGAAGCAGGTCAGTTTTTTCCCACAGGGTATAAATATTCTTTTGTGAAAAAAAATTATAAGTATTGCAATCCTTTTTTTTTTAAAAGTTCTTAAATTTATTTAACTTGGATGCTGTGTGTATTTGTGTTTGTATATCAGTTGTAAATCATTTAAACTCATCTCGGTTATTATTGATGATTATTATTTACAATTGTTATTTTTTTCTTCAATTTTATATTCATTTTGCGTTAGCGTTTATTTAAATGAGAGTTTCTTGTTGAATTTCTTGTTGAAGAGATATGAATAATTTGGTGATTTTTATTTTATAATGATTTACCTGCCGAGGATTCCGAAACGTTGGGATGTATTCAACAGGTATAGTGTCTGTATTTGGTTGAGAAATATATGTTTGTCGAGTCGATATTGTATATGATAGTTGCAGTTTTTCAGGTTTTCGTGAGGATTAATAATAGATTCATTGAAAACAGGTGTTAGGGAAAAAAAAGTTGAACTTTTAATCTTATAAATAAAAAAGTACCTAGCTTATTTATTTCACATTCATTTCTTTTATTTAAATTATTTTATCACTATTTTTAATTGTTTTTTTATTTTTTAAAGAGTTTTTAAAGATTTTTTACTCTTTTCGAAATCTTTTTTTCATTATATAAGTATTATTATTTTAAAAGGTGTTTTAAAAATATGTTTTAAAAGATAATTGACAAAAAAAAAGATTTTTATCAAGGAAATAATATTCTTTTCGCAAGTAGACACCATTTAACCATTGCTTCATTCATTAACTCTTCGCTACTGGATTTATTCAATGACATATTTTTAACGACTTTTTTTACGTGAGCTTATCGACGAATATTTTAATTACTTTCGAGTTATTTATGTAAATATATAAATTGCAATTTAATTCTAAAGTGGTTTACTTGAATCACTTGTTTCAAGGAATACCGTACTGAGTAAAACCTGACTTATTGCCGTATTAAGTAGATCTTGTGTCCGTATATTTTATATATATATGTATATAAATACACTGTACAAGTAGTCGAAGGCCATTCGTGGCGAGAAAAACCATTCAACGAAAGAAAAACTTTTGTAATTATTTCTCCAACCAGAGCATTTAGTGATTTACAAGCTTCACTTACGAAATTGAACATAAACTTTGATTTGAATGTACAGTTAAATTTTATTTTTATTCTCAATATATAAAAATCACAAGTAATAAAGAGAAAACGGAAATATTAAGCTCGTATGATTGGATAAAAGAAATATATATCTCTCAATGATGATTACATTATCAAATGTAAGATGTTCGTTTGAACGAATATTGCGAAGATATATATATACATTTTTTTTCATTTAGAGGACTTTTCGAGTAAATGATTTAAATTGATACTGCACTCTCGAATAAATCATTTTTAATTGAAATTCTCTTTCACGATAAATATTGTGAGATTTTGGTTAAAAATTTTTCATCAAAGATTTTTTTTGTATTTGTTTATTTCAATTAAAAAATTTTTTTATTTAATTATCGTTGTTAGTATTGTCATTAATGTATAATTATTAGAATAAAAAGACCTATTCATGATTATATAATTTTTAAATAAAATCAGAAAAGACAATGTATAAAAATTGGTTAGGAAGATTTTTTTCGCATTAAATTCTCATTTGTTTATCATTGTAACTGTAAATATCATTGTTTAAAATGCTATCAGTTTGAATTATTTTATCGGACGTCAATTAGTGTCTTTTAAAAACGATGTTTTGTTTGACAAACAAAGGCAGAAAAATTTTTTTAAAAATTTTTTATTATCTGGTAATATTTACTATTTCCTTTTTTGTATTTTTATGAATAGTTTTCTCTCTCTCTACAAATTATACAACTATTAATGTCTCTATTTACCTGTACAATTTAGTGCAAAAAAAAACTGTAAAATAGAATGTTTTCTAGAAAAAAAAGAGAAGAAAACATAACATTGAGGTTCATTGCACTTGAGAGTTGCAAGTATATAGAATTTTAAATTACTAAAAGCCAATATCGACCTATAGTAGAAGACTTATCTATAAACAGATAGGAAAGAAGAACCAGAAACCCTTCAAAAGTACCTATAGACATATTGCAATATTTAAATAAATTCAGTAGCAAAGAATGTTAAATTAAATTTTACTCGATTGTTGGAATTTATTCATTTTTCCGCCACAAATTATTGAAAATTATTTTGCCAAATTTTATTTTTCAATTTTAAATAATTGAATTCATAAAGAATTTTCCAGTTGACATTTTTAGAAATTTCATTTTTGTTTATTAAAATTTTCAATTTTGATGTGAATAAATTTTTTGGTTTGAATTTTTAATTTTAAATAAATAGAAAGTTTTTTTTTTCTCCTGGAGTAATATTTGTGTCAGAATTGTTCGAAACGGTTTTCTGGAGGCCGACAATAAGCTATTGTCAGGTTAAAATTTTATTTGGAACAGCCAAACTTACGTTCGGGTAACTCTTTTTCTTTTATATTGAGATTGGTATCTATCTTTTAAGTAGACTATATAGTATATACCGTTAGTTTTCTCCGCGAAAGATCTTACTCTGTAGAAACTGAATCCAATCGAAAACAAACGTAGAAGCGTAACAGTATTTGTGTGGGCTCTCCATCATATCTAGGGCTTCTGATCGGATGAGCGAATATCATCCATTTTTCACTTGGGGGGGGGGGGGGAACAAAAGAAATACAATATTTTATTTCATTCAATTTTAATTTATTATTTTTTTAAATTTAATTGAAAATAAATCATTTTTTTCCAAGTATTTTATTACAATTTTTGAAAATTAAGTTTTTGAGAAATTTATGTAATTAAAAATTTTGGAAATAATTGAATTCTCAAAAATTTTTAATGAAAAATCTTCAAGTATAAATTTAATAAAAATGAAAATTAATTAAAATTAGAGGTTGTAAAAATAATAATTAAAATATGTTTGAGAAAACTAATTCTCTGAATTTTTTCATTTTAATTTTTTAAAATTCAATTATTATTTTCAATATTTTTGATTACCTACATATTTCCGAAAATTCAAGTACATACATACAAAAAATAACATTGTTTATTAATTTAAAAAATTTAAATAAAATTCTTCTCAAGAATTTCAATTATTTTCATAAATAATTACATTCTTCGTAAGAATTTAATTATTTTTGTAACTTATAAGTATAGTACAATTTTTTGCAAAAATTCAATTATTTTGAAACAAAATTTGAATAACATTTTACGAACGAATACAATTATTTTCTGAAATTTCAATAATCCTTTGAACAATTCAATTATTTTTTTAAATATAGTAAAGTCTTTGAAAAAATTCAATTTTTTTCAAAAAAAATTCACGGAAGAATTCCATTTTTTTTTCTTAATTCGTTATAAAATATTTCAAAAAAATTTAATTATTTTCTAAAATTTTAATAAATTCTTCGTAACAATTCAATTTTATTTATAAATAGTAAAATTCTTTGCAAAAATTCAATTATTTTTAATACAATTTTAATAAAATTTAATGAAAGAATTCAATTTTTAATAATAGTTTTCGAAAAAATTCAATTATTTTCTAAAATTTTAATAATCCTTCGAAAAAATTCAATTATTTTTAAAAATTTTTCTAAATTCTTTGAAAAAATTCAATTATTTATAAAGAAATTTGACGAAAGAATTCAATTTTTTTTTAATTCGTTATAAAATTTTTCAAAAGAATTCAATTATTTTCTAAAATTTTAATAAAATTCAATAAATGTTCAATTTTAATTGTTAACAAACACGATTGTTTTAAAAACTTGAAAGAAATTGTTCATAAAATTCAATAATTTAAAAAATTTTTGATTAAAATTATTAAAGAAACTCAATTATTAAAAAAAAAAAAAAATTCAAAGAAATTCTTCAAAAAGAATTTAATTCGAATTTTCATAAATTTTAACAAAATTCTACAAGAGAATTAAATTATTTTTCTAAATAATAAAATTCTTCGAAGGAATTCTACTATTATCAAATTTTTTTGATAAATTTTTTTGCTACAATTTTGATAATTTTTAATACATTAATTTTAAAAGTGAAAATATTTAAAAAGAAAAATTATTAAATGAATAAATAAATTCTCTAAAAAATAATTCAATTGTTCTCAAAATATTTTTAAAAAATTCTATATATGTAAAAATTAAATTACTTTTAATGCAATTTTTAAAAATATTCATGAAAAAAATTGAAAGAATTCAATTATTTTGAAAAAATAATAAAATTCTTGTGATGAATTCAATTATTTTGAATATAATTAATTTTAATAAAATTCTTTAAAGAAATTCAATTATTTTCGAAATAACTTTAATTGAATTTCTTGAAAAAATGTCATTATTATCAAATATTTCTATAAAATTCTTCATAACAATTTAATTATTTCTTAAAATTTTAATAAATTCTTCGAAACATTTCAATTATTTTTATAAATAGTAAAATTCTTCACAATAATTCAATTATTTTTATAAATAGTAAAATCGTTTGTAGGAATTCAATTAGTTTTAAAACAATTTTAATTGAATTCCTCGGATATATGAATTCAAATATTTAAAAATATTTCCTTAAATTTCAATTATTTTCTAAAATTTTAATAAATTCTTCGAAACAATTCAACTATTTTTATAAATAGTAAAATTCTTCGCAAAATTTCAATTTATTAAAATTTTTGAAAATATTCTACCTTAATAATCTTTAAAAAGAAAAATGGACAGTTTCAATTATTTGTGATTTTTGTTTCAATTATTATAAAAAAATTGAATTTTTGTATTAAAATAATTGAATTCTCGAAGAACTTTCGGAAAATTATTAAAAATGAATATAGATAATGGATTTAGAAATGAAGTTTAGTTAACATTGTAAAAATAATTGAATTTAGGAAGGGTTATAGTTGTAATTTTTAGAAATTAATAAATTTCAGAAGTTGACATTTTAAAAATTTTATTTCCCGTGAAAAAAGAAATGAGAAGTACATA